GGGCAGGTGGACAGAGCACAGAGGACAGGTGGACAGGTGGACAGAGGACAGGTGGGCAGAGGGGCAGAGGGGCAGGTGGGCAGAGGGGCAGGTGGGCAGAGGGGCAGGTGGGCAGAGGGGCAGGTGGGCAGAGGGGCAGGTGGGCAGAGGGGCAGGTGGGCAGAGGGGCAGGTGGGCAGAGGGGCAGGTGGGCAGAGGGGCAGGTGGGCAGAGGGGCAGGTGGGCAGAGGGGCAGGTGGGCAGAGGGGCAGGTGGGCAGAGGGGCAGGTGGGCAGAGGGGCAGGTGGGCAGAGGGGCAGGTGGGCAGAGGGGCAGGTGGGCAGAGGGGCAGGTGGGCAGAGGGGCAGGTGGGCAGAGGGGCAGGTGGGCAGAGGGGCAGGTGGGCAGAGGGGCAGGTGGGCAGAGGGGCAGGTGGGCAGAGGGGCAGGTGGGCAGAGGGGCAGGTGGGCAGAGGGGCAGGTGGGCAGAGGGGCAGGTGGGCAGAGGGGCAGGTGGGCAGAGGGGCAGGTGGGCAGAGGGGCAGGTGGGCAGAGGGGCAGGTGGGCAGAGGGGCAGGTGGGCAGAGGGGCAGGTGGGCAGAGGGGCAGGTGGGCAGAGGGGCAGGTGGACAGAGCACAGAGGACAGGTGGGCAGGTGGACAGAGCACAGAGGACACGTGGGCAGGTGGGCAGAGGGGCAGGTGGACAGAGCAGCAGTTGGGCAGGTGGACCAAGAGGCAGAGGGGCAGGTGGACAGAGGGGCAGAGGGGAAGGGGAGCAGGCACCTGCTTCCCCGTAGGACTTCAGCCGGTGGCCATGGAGTTGCTGAGCGGAGAGACGGGGAGCGGAGCAGCTGTCCACCGGGATCTGGCACACCATTGGTCTGTCTGGCCTCACCCCCCTCTTCGGAACCCCAGCCCTCAGCAGACCCCCAGCTGCTAGCGGGCCCCAGGGCCAGGCTGGGAGGGGGGCCCTGTCCCTGCCTGAGGGCCCCGCAGTCCGCCCGCGCTCACCTTGTAATCCTGGTGCAGCCGGATGAACACGCTGGTCCTCCGGTCCCAGGACACGACCAGGCCGCTGCGGGTCTCGATGGCCAGGTGGGTGCCCATGTACCGGATCCTGTAGGGCAGGTCTGCGCCCGGCCCCCTCTGCACCACCTTGTAGGTACCCTCGTGGAGGATCAGCTCATAGTTCTGCGAGGGGCACAGGGAGCTGAGTGGCCAGCGCCCACCCTGTGGCCAGGGTAGAGGCCCCACGGGTGCTCAGGGGCCCACGGCACGGGGCTGGCATGAAGGCTGAGCTGGGCTCCTGACATGTCCGTGAACTCCTGGCGAGAGGCTGGGCAGGGTGTGGGAAGCTGGGGCCTGGGGCAAGCAGGGGGGGGGG